TGCAGACCGGCGGTACGATATGTTACCCAGCATCCTCAGCGCTGACCTTTGCTCCCTACTGGGGGGTGTTGACAGGTGTGTTATCTTATTTTGACAACTGTAAATCTCTTGTCCATACCATTTTGTAAGATATATCTGTAAAGTATTTTAAATTTTGTAAATGAGACATAAAATCCTGCCAGGTTTTGCACTATATTGAGCCTAACTAGGAGTCGATTTCTACGGCTTCAGCTTGTACATGGTCCATTTGTTCCACCACAGATATGCCATGAGTGTCCTCTGGGAACTGGACAACAACTACGAGGTGCTTGATGTTTGGTATGGCAGAACTATCATCAAGTCTGCATACAAAATGTTCTATGAGGTGAGTGGGATGTATACCTGTAGATACAGATTTTATTGTACACTGTATACCCCATAAAATTTATTACACATCAAAATTAAAATTAACAGTTTTAGGTTAGCAGCGTACCTTGTATAAAAACATATCTGTTGTTGCAGGCAGCACAGGCTGTACATGACAGGAGACCAGAGGAAGAATTGATCCAGAGCATCCCAGAACTGCATGGCCTAGATACTGACACTGCCAGGAACAGGTCAGTATTCTCTTCTCTGCGGCATTGTCCTACTCAACAATAAATCATTGTGCTTTCTACTGTACCTCTACCTTGCTTTAAAAATAACTGAAGAATATGATACTTATGTAGAAAATTGAAGTTAAACCAAGAATATGTTTGATATGGTGTAATGAATTCTTAATTTTGTCCCCCCACTCCTTAAGGCTGGAGCAGATTCGCTGGGCAGTGGACAGTCTGATGGACATTGCTGACCACCTGCGGGCAGGCAGGCTGCGGGAGGGGGGTCTGGAGCTGGAGGGGGTGGAGGTCCAGGTCCAGCTGGGGGACAGCAAGGAGATTGAAAAACTGGTGCCGAAACAGGTCAGTTTCACACACCGTCTGATGCTATCATGGGCATTGCTAATCTTTTTCTACTTTGCTGCTCACTATATTTTTCATAGCTATCAAAATTTTAATCTTTTTTTGATTACGATTGAATTTTGAAATATGATGTTGTTTTTGTGTGTACAGCCCTTAGCAGTGCATGAGACGGTAGCAGAGTGTATGATATTTGCCAACCACTGGGTTGCCAAGAGGATAGCAGAAGCCTTTCCTAACTATGCTCTGGTAAGTACTTTAGAGTGCTTTATATGTATTGGAGCAAATACTGTGTGAGATGTGTTTGTTTTTTCAGAATTTTCAGTTCATTTCACTCACTCACTCACTCCGTCGAGACTCGCTCGGAATCTTTCATGACTAGATGTCTCCATAGCTCCCTGTTGTCCATCGCTGCAGGCAGCTGGCAGTTCATTTCACTTCACATAATGCAAATATCATGGCATGTGACATGTCTCCTTTGCCCTCCCCAGTTGAGACACCATCCCCTGCCCAGACAGGAGCACTTTGAGAGTCTGGTGGAGTGTGCCAAGGCTCAGGGCTTCTCTGTGGACACCAGGTAGGACACAGAGTGTATTGTGATGGTTATTCCATCCATGTCACAATAGCATGATCTTGAGACATGTTCTGCAAAAATATAATTGTATTTGCCTCAGTGTCACTAGCAAAATACCACAAAAGATGACAATAGTCCTGAGATTTATTAAGAAAAGTTGAAGAGATGTGAAAATATATGTTTGTTGTTTCCATCCATCTACCAGTTCCAACAAAGCCCTAGCAGAGTCTCTGGACAAGTGTGTAAACAAGGATGACCCTGTTGTGAACAAGGTACGGCCAATATTTCAAACCGATAGTCTAACATTTCAAACATTTTATTGACTAAAGTCTGTGACTAAATTAAACACTGACAAGACGGTAGATGGTACTGCTGTCCATCAGTTCATTGCATTTTTTTCTCACTGCTATGTAGCTCTTGCGAACCCTAGCAACCCAAGCCATGTCCAATGCCCAGTACTTCTCAACTGGGTCTCTGCCCAGGGATCAGTACTTCCATTATGGTTAGTGTTGGGTACAATTTATTACGTCAGTTTAGAACGTAAACTGCACACAAAACAATTGTATTGTTTATGAGACAGGCAGTCATTAGATGTAAGATTTGACATTGCCACACTTTAACTGAAGTTAAATGTATGATGGAGATTAGCCGATGATGGTGCATTGATCATGACTACCACAACAATGAGAGATGAGGATGTACCAGTACATGTATCTATGATATACTATAGTAAAGACTTACAGTTCCATTTCTGTTCCCTCCATGTAGGCTTGGCTCTTGATCTGTACACCCACTTCACCTCCCCCATTAGAAGATATGCTGATGTTATTGTGAGTATTGCTGAGATTTTTGCACATTTGCATCAGTCATTTGAAAATCTGTCTAATTTTGGATACAAACTGCATACAGTATTACCGGTAACTCCAGTACTTTCTACTTGTGCAGGAAATGTGTCTCTGTAGAATAGACCTCAAAGGTAAAAAGTCTGATTCTCCCCCAACAGGTGCACAGACTGCTGCTGGCTGCCATAGGTGTGGAGGACGAGAGGTCAGCTGGGGTCGTCAAGAACCAGGAGCTGGAGGAGCTGAGTCAGCACATCAACAACCGCAACAGGGTGGGTTTGTGTGCACACTCAGTTCTCAGTTAGTAGGATAAACAGGATAAGGGTTATCATAGCTAGGAATCACACTCATTATTGACATGTACACATTATCTTCTTACAACATAGGAAGAATACATGTAACTATATCTTAATTTAAAGTTACATGTTGGGCTGCAAACCACAATACTATACAATGTACTGTACATACATCACTGAAGTCCTCTGACTTGCAGGCTGCCCAGCACGCCCAGAGAGCGTCCACAGAGTTGTTCCAGACCTTGTACTTCAAGGACAAGGACCCAGAGGACGAGTGCTGCATGGCAGATGCTGTGATCTTCTCTCTAAGAGCCAACGGGGTGCTACTCTTTGTACCAAAGTGAGTTACTGAGTCTCATGTCTTGTGATCTGAAGATCCATCTACCCAGGTATTGTCAGAGTTAACCCTATCAAACATCACACATAGCCACAACTATTTGCGGTTTTGACAAAATTTGTCATTTACAGATATGGAGTAAAGGGGCCGCTGTATCTGAAGGACAAGGATGGCCTGGTGGTGCATGTAGAGAAGGATGGGGCAGTGTCATACACATCAGGTAAGGATGGTAGCTGTTAGTGTTACCGGTAGTCTGTGATATGAATCTTACAGTATTCTTTGGAGTGTTACCTAGTAGTGCAAAGTTTTTAATCAGCCACAATTGTATGGACCATGAAGTGTCAATGTGCTGATGTAGAGCAGTTAATGTCAGACTTTCTCTGCCCAGGCACACTCAACAGAAAGCAGTTTGAAGTGGTGGCACAGTCAACCAAGGGGTCCACATCATTCAGACTCTTCCAGCATCTCACTGTAAGCACCATACTTCTAGATTTTTGGGCGGTTCTACACTGTACATTCATGCTCACAAAACAGGTGATATTCATATAATGGTACAAGTTGCCCACATCATATACGGCTTAGCAACTTGTAGATGATCGTACTGCCAGTCATTCTTGTAGTGGCCAGAGAAGACACTCATGCCTGTTGTTTTCCAGGTGAGGATGTCCCTACAGAAGTCACGTGCCCATCCACAGACATTGACCTTCACCTTGGTGGCAGCAAAACCCTACAAACCTGACCTTGAGAGGGTCAAGGGTGAAAGTTCAGCACCAGCTAGAACTGATGTAGTTAAGGCAAGTGCTGTCAAGTTCTCTAAATGCTCAGATATTCCATTCGTTTCCAGTTTACCATGATTGTGCTCATGTCTCATGAGCTGTAAATTTTGTTTGATTTCAAATACAGGAAGTTAAAAGCAGTTCTGCCGACACCTCAGCATCGCAGAGTTCTGACACCACTGCCGCCATGGGGAGTGAGTTTCCTGAGCTGTTGTGTGAATACGGACAGTCCAGGTCATGTGACACCCTGTACGGTCTCATGGAGGGGTTCCGAGAAATGAGTCTGGCTGAAGCATGATAGGAACACCGCTGCTGAAATACGTGTAAAGAATCAAAGAAGTGGGGAATGTTAAGAAGATTGTATAAAGATTTGAAGTTTGCCCTTTTGTACATAAATGCATGTAAGAATGTGATTGAATAAAGTTGATTTGCTACTCCAGAAAAGGTAACTGTAGTGTCTAGAAACCCACTCACATACACAAGACAATTGCTGAAAGTCTTGAATACAAGTTCTCTGTCAACATTTAATTTCCAAAATTACATATCATCTACTGGCTGTTCTGATAGATTTTCCTATGTGCTAGACAGCAAGTACATGTTCAAGGAGGTAGTTGTGAATTTTGTTAATGCCCAAAAAATCAACAGGAAAGGCATCACTTCTTCAAAGTCAGGGAACAAATAGTTAAGATAGGAATTTCTATAAAATTCACAATACAGTACTTTGTTAAATTCTATCAATCTATCAATGACAACCAAAAAGCTTTTGTATCAATCTAAGGCCACACCAAGTAAATTTTATGGATGACGTCCGCGCGCGCATAGATTTTGGCCTGTTCCTAGAAAAAAAAAACAAGAAATTCGGCTTCCTGTAACTATGACCAAAGAGTCACGACAGTGCCCCAAATCGTTAGATTGACGTGAAACCCGTAACGCGAAATGGGTAAAGAGCACATGCTTTGTTTCTGCAGGCCTGCAAAAATGTGATGAAAGAAACAGGAGAGGACGACAACTGCTGTTCCACCTGATTTATTGCTGTTTTGATGATGAATAAAAGACTTCTTGCTTGTTAATCTGTGTCACCTCATTCAATTTGTGTCCTAACATTTGTCGTCTCTTAGTATATTTCTAATCTAGGAATCTTGTTTTTTAGGGCCCTTCTTGTTTTTTTCTCGCCCTCTCGCATTAGATATAGGGTCTCCAAAGGACGTCATCCATAAAATTTACTTGGTGTGGCCTAATGTTTAAAAGGGTGATAACTGATATGGTACTGTTAGTTGTAATGGGAACAAATGTTGGTCACATGAGGAAAAACATACTAACTTGCTGGTATAGAAACCTTCAGAAGGCCTCTCACCAAGAAGGCTTAACAACTCGATCTCCCTGCATCAATATTTGGGTGCACTCCCAGTAAAACTTTTAAGGAAAAAAAGCTGATTACAGTTATGTCACATCATGGTATTATGTCTGCTACTTTTTTAATACAAGAAGAAAAGACTGAATGACTACAACAGCTATGATAACATTTCCATCCTGCTACAGTAACATCTTATATACATACATACAGCCCATCACAGATCCTCATCATCTGAAGAAGCCTGTTCATTTGGGCCGTTCGACTCTACTGGTTCCTGATCAACAGTGTTATTTTCAACTACAGTTTGTAGATGTTCATCTGATGGTTTGCTCTGGCTATTGACATTGTCCTCCAGATTAGAACTGCTTCCTTCATTTGAATCCTCATCAGGCTCCGCAGCACCAGTGGTGTCTGGTGCATTGTGGGATATATGTAAATCATCTCCTTGGCTGGTCTCCTCAGGAACAGGCTGTGAGGAGGTTTCCATGTTTTCTGCAGGTGGTTGTATGTCCTGCTGAACGTCGTCGGCGCCTTTGTTGGAACTAAAATCATCAGAGCCGAGTGAGGTGTCCATGGCAGAACTCTCATCGTCTGGGGCACTACTTGGTCCTGGGATGGCTGAAATAGAAACAAGATTTAGCTGGATGTACCCCAACTCTACACAAGACACACCTATTCCTTTAGTTATTACCTTGGCTAATTACACGTTGAAGTGTACTTTGGTATTAATTTGCAATTATATATTTATATCTAAGAAAAAATCAAAGTGCTGTTAACATGTTGACATATTTTGCTTTGGCCCCCCTTTTGGGTAGGTTCAAACAATGGCTATATCTTACACCAGGGTCAATCTACTTCCAAGTACCCTCCTTCTATTGTATCTATATCTAGTATTGTATCTGTAGTCCTGCCAGAAACAGTTCATTTCCCCACCGTCTTCCTGGGCCTGCTGCATGGCCTGGAGCCGGGCTTTCCTGCGCTCCTCGGCCAGACGTCTGTTCTGTTCCATCTTCTCCCGCTGTTCTGCAGTCAGGCCGGTAGACTGGCTGGGGCCGGGTTGGGACGGAGGCTGGGCACCAGAGTCTGTGTCACTGCCTGCACCTGCACCTCCACCTGTACCTGCACCTGTACCTGCCTCGTCAGCCTGGTCCTCATCATCTGGAATTAAGGGTTGTGCCATCAGACGAGCATGGCATCAGACATCAGCATACCTACATACATTTGTACATGCAATCAAATGTACCACAAGAGCTACCTGTGGTACAAATACTTGTACTGTGACTACCAGTACCAGATCAGATTTTAAAATGTACTTTTGAATCATTACATTGTCATTCATGAATGGCTTGAACAAGTATATAATAGTATAATATATTATTTATCACTGTCAATGCATTGTCAATATGCTTGTGCATAATGTACACAAGACAACAAAACTGCAATACTCAATTTCACCACTAGGAGGCATCACTGCACAAGCTGTACCTCAATATAAGATACATTTGGTTGGAGACAATGAATTGCCCATGTTACCTCCTCTTCTGACAAAGTCCTCATCCAGGAGAGGCATGCCCATCCGCAGCTTCTCCATACAGACCTGGAAAGAGAAGACATCTGGAACTCAACATTTTACACCAGTCAAATTCTTCATTTTGTATCTAAATAGTCCTGTCTTTATGTTACATTGAATGATTCACAGCACACTCCCATTTAATGTACGAGTGACTGAAATGAAGAACTTCAAATGAAAAACATGCAAATACAGTTTCCCCTTAATTGCAACAAGATCCCTTTCCGCCCACGTCCTGTTAACAAATCACGGGTAAACATCACCAGGTAAAATGTGTGCTGCAGGGTGATTGATACTACCGGTAGTCATTATCAAAATGGCATCAAATGTCGTTGCTGCAGGAAGTGTAGGTGGAAGAGTATCAATGTTTACACTGTCTACAGCAGTAACACAATCAGTCAGATGTTACTGACTGGTTTGCATTACACTTTCATAGCTTGGGGGCAAAAAATACACAGGAAAGACATACATCTGATAAAAATTCACAACCTTGCATTACCACGAAAATTGAAGTGCTGTTACTGGTAATAGCAGTTGTCATGATGGAACCTTTTTTGGCCCTAAATAGTTACAACTACATTTGTAGGTCATAATTTGGAAGCTGGATGGATGCCTACAATTTGGAGGCTGCTGTGTAGTTAATTATACCTGCTGCTTTCAATACTGCTTGGCTATGCCTATAGTAGTATATCTGGGCTATCGCATTTCCTGATAATTCCCATTCCTATTCAATCAAGGGACCCACATGTACAATTAACTCCATCCTTTTCTCACATTTTATTGAATGGCATCTTCTTGTTCAAACACTCAACCCTGCCCTACCTGTACAGGTTTCTTCTGTCCCAGCTGTTCCACCTTCTCAATGACGTCGTCGAAGGTGAGTTTGGGGAAGAGTCGGTGTGCCCAGTGCTCCATGGTTCGCATCAGCAGCTTCAGGTCCTCCGCCTCGTGACCCTTCCCGGCAAACTTCACCTTGTCAAAGTGCTTGGGCAGGGACGGGATGCCTCGCTCACCACACAGCCTACACACATCATCAAATACTATAATTGGTTACCGCTGTAAATTCATTTACTTTTGTGGTAGGAGGGAAAAGGAGACTTTCAAGATGTTAAAGTCTGTGCTAAAGAAACTAAACAAGGTGCTAAACAATTCTGTAGTGGAGTGCCACAACATGTACAATACGGGTACATGAACATGCAGTGAAAAGAGAACAAAACCACCATGAAAGATTTACAGTAGTTGACTGTGACAATATGCCACGTGAGATGATATGAAAACCATAGGATTAGGAGTTGCAGGTCTTGATCGTGAGAGATACTTATAAAAGTTGTACTATAGAAAACTATTCTAATATTAATAAGGACTGTCTCAGTACAAAAATATAAGCTTTTGAGCGATGCATGTGGTGAATAACTTCTCACCTTTTAGCGTCTAATTTTGGCTGTGGCTTCCTGCGTGACTTTTTTCCTGCCATCGGCACGTCCTCCATGGCTGCCAGCATCTTCCCTCCGATGTCATCTGTGTCTTCTGCATTAGACATTAAACTCAGTACCATCACTACATCTGTAGGATTTTCTGCCAGTAACTTCTTTTCTATAATCTACCCACTGACTGGCCCTCACTATCCCATAAGGCAACAGACAATGCATCTAACAGGAAATTGAAGACAGTAAACGAGACAACCTTTTCTAGGACCTTTGACTCATCTTCCTGTCAACATTCTAAATGTGCCTATCATGTGAAATTTAACTACAGAAACACAAGAAAACACATACACAAATAGAAAACAAAACCTCAGAACACAGATGTGACAACATCAGTAGCAAGCACTGACCTCCATTAGCCATGGCATCCCCCTGCCCCCCGTCCTCCCCATCCTCTCTGGCAGGAGACAGGGGGGGCAGCGGTGGTGGCAGGGGAGGGAAGTCATCATCATCCTCCTCATACTCAGGCATGTCAAACAGACTGTCCATGATGTCTGGGTCCATGATGTTAGCCATCACAGCTGGCTCCGTCCTGGGGAACAACATCCAGACATTCTGTATTCTTTCATCACGCACTCAGATGAGAAGAAAATTATACAAGAAAACTAAGTTGACGCTCTCTGGATGATTAAATTACCATTATGAAAAACAGTCAGACATGTACTAGTGATCACATTTGCATATATGGAAGACCATCATTTTGGTGCTGCGTTGATAATTTTTCCCGTTGAAAAATATCCCGTCTACATTTGTACATTGTATAGCAGTCACCAGTTACTTCATATTTCAAGTCCCTTGACCATGAGAGGTCACCATTAACAGCTTTGATGATAGACCTACTACAAAATGTTAGATTTTGCCAAGCTACGTACCAGACAACATTTATTTCCATCATTCAATTTGATGCATAAATCTCAGTAGACCGGCCAGACGTGAGTAAATATTACCCAGTAGTGCAATCCACATAATGACAAAGACATTTTCCTAGAAGTGTACGAGTACTTGTCGCCTAATAGAGTCTGGCAGACATCTTTACTGTCTATAATCAGCCAGAAAAAAATCCTAGGCTGCAGACAAGCTATTCCTTTTTGGTACACCAATTGTCAATGCCATAATAAATTACATCAATACATGTAATACTACATGCCATGCTTGGCACAGCACCTTGCTTTGACCCCTTTTCTGTGTCTTTTATTACTAGTTTGAATTTAGTGCTCCAAATATAGCTTGGTGCAATAATGGCTTTCTGTGTTTGTCCAGTTGTACAGTGAAATAACGATCATGACATTCTGTGTATGGCACAGAAATTACTATAAATATATTCTGAATAGACCATGTACATGTACTTTGGCTGGCAGCAATCTCTAAGGTATTTGTGATCATATAAAAAGGACAGACAGCACCTCAAATTGGTTTGACTCAAACAGGTGCCCCCAGAGCAATTTGCAGGATTTCTTTCACAGCATATGGTCAAATAAAGGTGGCTCGTGAAGAATTGTTAACAACCTGGGATTCCTCCCCCAGATAAATATGTACTGCAACATACTGATAAAGATGACCACAAACCATATTTTCTGGTCTTTAACTGCCATAATATCACACAAAATGAATGAAAAAATCCCTTTCTTGTATTGTGGTTGAACTCTATCATGGCGTTTGTTTAAGGGCTTTTCAAGAGGCAGCTGAGTGACCAAAGCACTTGTATATAAACGCACCATTGTATACCTCATCATTTTCCTACGGCAAAAACACTTCTTCTGTTCACTGCACATATCATCCATCTTTCCTATCACAGCCCATAGACGATTATGGCTCTTCAAGGAGTTAAACTGAATGAGAATTACTCTCACCTTCCAAACCATGACAATATACAGGCTAGTAGAACACTGTATCTTACCAAAACGCTGCTGCTGCCTCTGGACAATATCCACCCTCTCCAGCGAACATGATGATTAAAACTGGCTACTACTGTGTCTTCCAAGGCTTCTTAAAGCTTTTGTTGACGTAGGCTAACCTTCAAAAGGCTTTACCTACCCTATCTCCATCAAAATGAGAAGGCCAAAGGGGAACGGTGACGTAGTGTATCTTTGGAAACGGTGATGTTGAGTGTCTGGGAAACCAGATTCCTTCCCCACGGTATGTTCAACAGTGATAATATTATCAGTATCATGTAGACAACCTGTCTGAACACAGGCTGAACAAAATTAATATCATATTCTCTGTTGTCTATGCATCTGATCAGACAGGTTGTTTACATGATACTGAAAGACTTAATACTGATAAACACGTGTCATATCTAGTTTCACAAAAAAAAATTTCAAGTGCATATTGTGATATGATAATCCCGTTCTTAAATGTGTTGTGAGGATAAACAAAAGACGTCTGTTAAATAGAATTATACCTAGCTATATAGGGCAAGCATTTGTATTTCAGGATGCCCATACAAGAAATTAGCATGACAGTAATTTTGATAAAAGGATGGGAGCTACAGAAATAGAAACTCATGACACTTTACCGGTGACAACCATAGCTTAAAGTAAAAAGTGAAGTTAAACATTTCAATATCATGTTTTTTTGTCTTGGAAGATTAGATAACTAGTACATTTTTTGTGCAATAGACGTTTTGATACCAAGAACCAGCTAATTACATTTAACATGGCATGTTGTAGCCACGTCACATGCACAGCCGCATGAGCTTCCTGGATATGGTTTGCCTCCATTGGTTGGCTGGTGAGTAGGAGAACTGTTTAATGCAATACGCTCATTCAGACAAAATCATTCAGACAAAAACATATTCACTAATTGCTCGAGAAAAATCAAGGCACAAACCATGCTTCCTAATTTCCTAATAAAATGTGATCCCAGTTTTCTTTAATTATTATAACATATTTGTATAATCATATATTTCAATCAAATCCTTAAAGTTATTACATTTACATGAATTGCTCTACAAACACACGTGGAATAACTACCAGTAGCCAGGTGACCGTTCAAAGGGGTGTTTAACCAGCTTCAATCCTACTGAGCCTTTTTGACAGCCTCCCAGACGGCCCTTCCAATTACTGTGGTCCTTTGTGAGTGAGGTAATTAAAACCAAGTATAATGTCCTTGTTAAAACCAACTATGTTTTCCTTGCTACAGATGTTCAAATTTCACTCCCATTAATTTTTAAGGTGAAAAAAATGACCATAACCACATCAGAAGTGTGTACCGTACATGTACACAGAACAGCTGCTCTTACCTTAGGTGTGAAATGATGTAGGGAACTATGATCAGGTGTGAGTGAAACAATATATGCCTGCCAGCAGGTAACATTAGCTTGTCGTTGCACACCATAGATTAATATGGCATGCAAAGGAAATATTTATATGAGCTACAGCATGTACCTTAGATCAGCCAGGTGGTTTTAGGAGAATTTGGGAGTGCCAAAAATACAGGTCCCTATGCAGCACCATCAGTTTGATGAAGAGGCTGTTGATTGCCTGAAGCCTCCACTAACAAGGGGTTACCCTCTGGAGCAGCCATTATCACTAACAATGGCTGCTGCAGATGGGCACCAAATAATTGCCAACGTGAGTACAAATAGGCATACAAAAAGGCTTCACTACACATGATCATATGAGAATAAGGCCATCTTGTCCTGACCTGTATATAATAAGGTTTGTAAGTACTTGTGGATGGGCATTTCAAGGGCCTATTTGGATGTCAAGAAGCAATTTCTTAAAAAGTATATATTTTGTACTAGTAAGTTCTTTATGTTTTGGGTAGCAGTATAAAGCTTCTCCTGAAGGCAGTTGAGGGGGAGGCAGGTGATCTCTCTGTAATATTCTTAACCTTATGGCCACATTTACTGATAGTCAATCCCCTCCTTTATCAGTTTAAGAAATTTTGCCCCTGAGTCAGGACTGCAGGACTGAAACTAAGCTCTCTTGTTGTAAGGCAGTAACAGGATGAATAGCTGCAATAATTCATGGGTTTTTCTATGCTGAAGCTGGCCTGATTCTAATGGCCTGGCGAGTTTCAGTATGTGGAAACCCATGAACAGATGCCAGCTTGTGCTCACTGAGCCGTGAGGATATACACGTACATGTACTGGGTGGGTGGATGAGGCTTTGGTGAATCGTGACGATCGCTTTACCAGAGTTTCCTAAGCAGGCTCACGTACACTCCAGTAGAGACTCAGCTGGGAAATACGTATGTCTGGGGATCACAGGGAAGAACATGTGCTGGCTTGTGTGTGTGTACCCAACTGTGACGTGCACAATTATCTATTATAATCCATTATTTCCATAAAGAAAGGAAATATTAACAAAACAGCTCAAATGCACATGTCCTAGGTTTAAATGCCACGTGTCAATGCATAGAGCAACGGTAATTACATTATAACTGAGGTATTCATTTATGTATGGATGGAAGGTTTCTGCCTGTGCTTAGTCATTGACGAATTCAGGAGAATGGTGAAATTAACATCTTCTCAACATGTTATGCAAAAGTGCCGATCATGCAGAGTGTTATGATTTAGGGCAATTAAACACCAATTAGAATTAAAATGGCTGATTTTGGCCTTACACAAACTCATAATATACTTTAAATACTGCATCTGCCTGGAGTATAAAAGCTCCAGGTTTTTATCTATTTTTCAATCAACCAAATGACGTGACCTTTACCCCCTATAAATTAATGACTTGAGTTGACCTAATTTCAAAGCTACCTACTGATCAGGCTTCATTACAAATACAAGTACTGTTGTATCCACTTGATACAATTGTTTGCAGTTAGACCTAGTATCAGTCATCAGTTAGACAGAAACCTACTTCTTGAAACTGGAAAAGAAAAGCATAATTATTCTGAACGCCATGAAACCTGCACCTAGCACCTCCTACGGATATAAATTATTTGTGTAGACGACTTGAAGCAACCGCTGACTTCGGAAGAAGTCATTGAACGGCGATGACTATTAAAAAATATAAATAAGGTTTCTTCCACGAAAAAAAATGCATTACCATACATGTTCACATATTTTGTGGAAAAGTTTAAATTATACCACGACTTTGAACAAATTATAGTTGCACCAAAAGCGAAGCAGCCACAACCTCTCTGTAAAAACAGCCAGAAAGTCGTAGAACTACGCAAATACGTCCTTGAAATCGCCTTCATGGATACGCCAAGGACCTTCTCTACGTGACCTGCTTTCGCATATAGCCGTGAGAGATAAATGGAGGGAGAAAATGGAAACTAAGCTTACCTTATCTCGATAAGTGTCTTCAACCTCTCCTCAGTCCCGCGCGATTTCAAAATGCCTAAATGCCATGCGCAATAACCTTTGACACGAAAGAAATAAACTTTCCTCCTACTTTTCCCTGTGAGAAAATTTTGCAAATCTGAAACATTAAATCTTATCTTCTAATCTAAACGAATTGGACTTTCAGGAATAAGGATTGTGTATGGATTCAGTCCCTTTTGGCCAGACAAACAGCAAGTGTACTACCTGCAGTTTTTATTTTTCACTCTAGAGGTCGCTTTTCAACACTGCCAATTTTCTGCTGCAATGTAAATTTTTACCGCCAGGGGTCGCTTCTAGGTAGTGCGCATGTCCGGAAGTGTCCTTTTTGTTACGCAAAGGAAGGACAAAATTTGTTCGGGAAAGTTCGCAGTTGATATAATATATTGTAATAGAGGGACAGGATTTGATTTAAGACATGAGCTTGCACGATTTATTCCGAGGAATATTTGGGTTTCCTGGTGGACGAGGAGGCCGACAACCACCACCAGATTACTTGTAAGTAAATGCTGTTTTTCTCATGTGATCACCTGTGATTTTGTATCAAGGAGGTTACCTCACATTTTCCTACAGAATCAAATTGGCACTAAAATATTATTTTGCTTGTGAACTTCTTACACTTTGCAAGAAATACCCAACTTCAGACATGACATGTGTATGTTTCCCCCCAGTGATGAGAATGAAGAGTGGGATGATGATGATGATGAAGATGAGGAGGACCATGACAGCTTCAGCCATGACTTTGGAGCCTTTGGGTTCAGGGGTGGGCCGGGATTCGAGGAGTTTAGTGGTGACGACTTTGGGATGTCGGACATGATGAAACACTTTGACGAGATGTTCCACACTTTTGATGAACTGTTCCGACAACTTGGCACTGTGGAATTTCCACCTTTACCACCTCCACACAGACCAGGTAGTTTCTATGCGTGTCTTATGCAACCCTTTTGCTAGTTGCATCACAGGCATTCTGCTGATTTTACTTGGCCAGTTGTATCAAATCTATGATGACAGTAATTTGATAATATATCCTTGGTTACATCAATGACATGTAAATTTAGTTCATCCAAATTAAATTCTCAGATGAAGATTGTGAATTAACTCATGTTGATGATGATTCTGCATTTAATGCTTAAAAATTGCTTCATCTAAAGGTTGAGTTTTTTCGTCTATAACCCTGCTGAAGCGAGCGCCACAGCCTGTAAAATAGAACAACATCAACAGTTTCACTCTATAAAATATGCTTCTAATATTTCAACTCTCCAGCAATCCAGCGATGTGAATTGACTAAATGAAAGAAAATAACTCCAGATCAGAAGCCCTTAAGGACTGGACCACTCAATGCTACTGTTGTTTTCATGCTCTAGGTGTTCCGGGTATTGAACCTCCCCCATCAGGACCTGGACATGAAAGGTCCCTCAGAGACAAAATGTTGAAGGAGCCAGGAGCAATCCCAGAGGGAGGAAGTAGCAGAAGTGAACAGCCAAGAAGTGAACAGCCAACACAAAAGAGATATCCACAGGTACTTCTGAAATTGGTTCATGATGTCCTATTTACTGTGATAACTAAACCACTGCGAGGAAATACTGTATGCTTGATACACGCTGTGGTATCATTACAACAAGAAAATTTAAGTTGCAGGTACACCAAAGAATAGCCTTTTGTCAAAGCTATGAAAGAGGGACCATGAAAGTGTTACCTACCATAAATGATGTTTTTCTCCTGTTACATTCCAGTTTGAAGACTTCTGGAAGAACCCCTTTGGCCAGCTACCCCCTTCTCCATGGGAGAAACCCCCCTCCTCACCTCAGGACAAAGTTGATAAAGGTACACATTAATGAGCAGTATTATGATGACTATAGTATGATGAGCTGTTTAATGTGTGTACACTGAGCAACATGACTGACACTTAAATTTATATTTTCCATTTTCTTGACGATTGAGTGAGAACGTGACCTGACGAATGTGTAATTCAAAAACTTTGGTGAATAGTATAGCAGTAACAGCATATCTTATATAAAATAATCTTATGTTCTTTGTGCCAGATCTGGATGCCCAAATCTCAGCATCAGACCTGGAAACAGTCCTGCCCCGACAGCAGCCGTCACAGCCACCGCAGGGTCGCTCGTTCTTCAAGTCCATCACCACGACGACCATCAGAGGCCCAGACGGGGTAGGTGATGGATATCAATGAAATGTATCCAATTCTCAGGGACTATTAAAGAACGACTATGGTACAATGGCAAACAGTATACATCACATTTGATTGCAAAGCTGAATGGTAACCATGCATTTCACGTGTGTTATGTTCGCCACTATTTTAAAGCATCATGGGTGTTTGTTGTCTCTGTTCCCAGAAAGTAGAACAGAGGCGAACCGTGCGAGACGGGTCAGGAAATGAGGAGACGGTGGTGACGCGAAACGATGGTGACCAGACGCACACGGTTGTGACCAGGAGAGATCCCTCTGGTAGGGAGGAGACTCGGGAGGAGATTTCTGATATAGATCAAGGTGAGAGATGTACAGGGAGACATTTGTGTTATTTTCTGTACAGTATAGTAATAGGATTTATTCAGGTGGCAGTTACTAAACTGTTTCTGAAGTTCACACATCAAACCAATGCCATGCATGATTGGAGGAAGGACTGTCTTTATCTTTCAGAACGGTTGATGATTGGGGTGGGTTATTACACTAATGCTTAACTTGTACAATACTAAGTCTTAATCATACTGTCATGTCATCCTAGGGATATCAAGTCATCCCGATGACAGATGGCCCCGGAGACTGCCTGACCACCGACCTCCCACCCTGCCAGGTCAGCCACGCTTGCCTGACGACAACACGGCGTCCATATTCTACAACCTGTTCGGCTCCTGGTTTGGAGGGAAGTAGTTGCCATGGTGATGGAAATATGTGGGCAGCTTTACAACATATGTGCAGAGACGAAGGACAAAGTCAAACAGCCGGCATTCCAAGCCTGGTGGAGGCATCTTGCTGCTTATTGTCTCTAACTGGACCATATTCATATAAAAGTGGAAAAGATAACATGTAAATGTTGTCCTTTTATCATTAGAGCTCTGAGAGTTTTACTGTGACACAAGAGAGATAAGAATATAAATGATAACAGCCAACAAGTTGCAGAGAACAGATTATTTATTTACCAAACTGTACGACAGTGACAGCATTTTGAGCATTTTCTTTGTGGTACTGAGGAGTGTTTCACACCTCAAACTGTTTCTACTTCATTTACATCTGTTGTAAGCTTAGCTTCACATTAGCTTAACAGTAAAACCTTCCATATTTATACAATAGTAAGCAGTACATGTATCTTCTAGTCCAAAGCAATCACTCAGATCTCCTGTGTATGCAGTTGTTCCTGTCTGACAGGTAAGGATGTGGCCAGGAATCAGACAGTTGTAGTTGTGGAGGATGAGGAGGGAGGTACTGGAGCTGTGTAACTGGAATGAGAAATGAATAAACATAAGGTTGAAGTTTCATGCTTGGGTAGAGTGGTACATGTCTGGCATATGTAAATGTCTGACTGCTGCTGTGTTTTAAGGGATTTTTGAATGAGAAAACAAAGTTTTTTAAGCCAAATGGAATTGGATGTACCATGTAAAACAACATGGATTCATCATATACATTGTGTGCAAAATTTAGCTAAGGCCACACCAATTTAATTTGTTGGTTCTCGGATTTTTTCAGGAAAAATATGAAGCGACAGGGCGAAAAAAATAAAAACATCTAGGCATCCTATTATAGCCCCAAATGCTACGATAGGAGGTATGAAGTCAACACAAAAGGCTGGTTCAAAATTTAAACAATGAATTTTGAACTTCTAATGATACCACTGCATTGAAAGAATGGAATAACTGTAACGACTAGGAAGAAAAGGACTGTTTTCAACTGTTCAGGGCAAAATATGAGCATTTTGCAGTTAATTCTGAATTTTTTTATTTTTTTTTGCAAATCAGGAAAAAATGAAGAGGCGAATCCGAGAACCAACAAATTAAATTGGTGTGGCCTAATGGTCTTGTGTTCCATACATATGAATGGTGCTAAGCACTAAGACAGTACATGTATTTGAGTCTGCGTAATGAACAATTGTAGAGAGACAATCCTTCTAAACTGCCAGGATAACTGCCATCAGCACATAACACACCTGCCCAGGGTGCCTCCAGCCTGGCTGAAGTACTTGTTGTAGTCGACCCTGAGCAGCAGCTGTGCCAGGTAGGGCGAGGCCTGGTGACTTCTCACGCTGGACAGGATCTTAAACAGCAGGTTGGACTGGCGGCTGAAGTCCTGAGGACATGCAAACAAGCAAGTTCATTTAGGATGTCCTTTTTCTACTGCTGAAGCAAGTCCAAGACATTGAGGGTACAAGGCACTAAAGAATAACATGGAATCTTATTAAATGCATAGCAAGCTTCTTGCTAAACAGAACTTTGACACTTAAGGACTACAACCTTACATGGTATATACAGTAGCAGTTACTAAGTGTACATAAGTAGTATTCACAAAGAACTTGTGATTTTACAACCTTTGCAATAGTCTCCAGCAGATCCAGTTGTCTCTCATTGAGTGCCCCGGGGTTCAAGGAGACCAGCATGGCAAAATTGTGGCACTGGTCCAGGATTTCATTCAGGCAGTGGAACACCTGGAAATACAGTTGTGCATTATGAATTCCACAGCCCTCTTAAAGGATTAAAGGTTGAAAGCAGATGAGGCTTGAAAAGGGGGAAATTTAAGAATTCTTATTTTCTTGACATTCATACAGTATGATCATTTATATTGTGAAGAAACAGCAATACCCTTAGTCAACATAATTCCATCAACAAGACATACAACCTGCAAATTAAAGGATAAAGTATGGTCCATACAATCAATGGAATGTCACAGAAAACTTATCAACACTTTGTATCCGAAAATACACAAGAAGCAAATAAAATTGTGAACTGTGCACAGTGCCAGGGGTTTGCTAGGATTGTTAACTATCCCCACTTGTGAATGTCAGCATGGTACTACAGTAAAATGTCAGGTGAGTAACCCACAGGTTTCATGAGGATGAAGGACTGTGCCAGCAGCGAGGACAGGAACTGGTCGTGCGCCAGACGGATGTTCTCAAAGTCTCTCGTAGCCTGGATCTTCTCCACCAGCTGGGAGAACTGGGTCTCCAGAACGTCCACCTAATAACAACACAGTTTACAGTCATTAGCACTGGGTTAAAGTCACAAACAAGAGGGCCTGCAAGGGGGGGTCCCGACAACGCTCTACTCTGAATTCGGAAACCTCTTGATTACGCTTTACGATAAATTCCAAGTGGCTACAACGCATTACGTAGAATTAAAACGCCGAATACGCTCTACGCAAAAATATTAGTCAGAGCAGTCCGTCTATGCTCTACGTAGAATTAAAACGGCCGATTACGCTCTACGGAAAAGGGCTTGCGGGCCCCCAAACAAGAGCTGCTTCATTATACATTGTACAAAGTGCCAGGCCATAACTGCATGAGTGTAAATTTTGTGTAATGAGGTTTTGTGCTGCAACAGGTAGATTTACGAAGCAAAAGAAGCTATTGGTGGGAAATTATTTGTCCAGTAGCCTGGGTACCATCCTGATTAGTTAATTGACAAGGATGTAGGATATCGGCTATATCAGAGCAGGCTATTATATATAACGTTCAGTGAGTCATAGCAAGGAGCCTCAAAATAGTCCATTAAAGGAGTACTAACCTCCAGAAGGAAGTGCTATTTTCCCATACATCATGCTGCAATGAATACATAACTAGCCGACGTTTTACATAATTTCGCTTGTACGAGTTGAGCGGAGCATGTTTGTAAAGTGATATTAATATCATTTTCCCCCATGCTGAACCACAATTGATACATCCGGGAATTCTGGCTTACGCAATACTCATACACTTCAGGTCAACATAAACATTTTTCGGCGAAAATGGTAGGAGACAAGCACACTAACAAGCTGATTATTGAGAAATTACTTGCTTTACTTTGCTTGACCTGTGGCTTGGATATTATAATATCAGGATGTCGAATACAGTGGGAGCCAGTTTCATCCTGCGTGTTTTGATTTTCTCAACTTATTTGCATGTAAGTATCACTTGAACAGATAATTAGATTACGCCACTTTTGGAAAGGATAACTAGATTACGCCGTTTTTTTCATCGTCAATATTTGCGGCATAAATGAGGGGCGATAAGGACACCAAGAAGGGCAATGGTTGGTAAGATACCAAAGAACACAAAACGGTATGAATTTTTCTTATCGCCCCCGAAATGAGGTCTGTAACGTAACTTTTTGTTTAAAACATAGACACTAATGGGGTAGCGTGGTGTATTCTGGGATAGTTTTGAGGGTATTTGGAGAGTTTGTCCTGGATTCGATGCATTTTAAGACTTGCGCGCAAAATGGGCATTTAATTGTATACTGTAAAATAATATGCATTTTTCAATTCCAAAAATAAATGCCTGTCGAAATATAGCACCTCCTTCTGGAGGTTAGTACTCCTTTAAGACCTCTCCAGGAGACTTCCTTTGTCCTTCTTGGAGGGTTGAAACAACATACATCTATCAACACTTGTATGGGGACACTAAGTCTGGATGTCATATACTTGTAATTTCGATGGTCTTCCTTTCATTCATTTCCAAACAAAATGGGAGGCTAGTTTGTATGTTTTCTGCAAGCCTCTTTTTCACAGCTGATCCTGCTTAGAGATTAGCTTTGTCCAGCAGAACAATTTGAACCAACCCCTCACTTTTTACCTCACCCCTAGTATCAGTACTGACAGGTTCACCAAGCCTCTGATATCCCGCCCGTTCCACCATGTGTAACTAATTATTGATATCTCCTAGAGGCATAGCAGTAGCCAAACCCCACAGTCCAGCTAGACAACAAGATGGCAGCTCTTCTCCTGCTGTTTTCTGCCAGTTTGTGTCTCAGTTATGCTGCACCAACTCCAGCAACAAACAACATCATGCCCAAGTTTGTCTTCTCTAAAGGTAACAGTCATCTGCCTAAAATACTTCACATCCAGACAGTATCATACTGTGCTTGTGTTGTCTGTACTTCTTTTTTGAAAAAATTATGCTCTACGTCACAATTTTGTAACTGACTGATAGAGAGAAACCAAGACCAAAATATCACAATGAGAAGTTGTGTCAGTGGTAATTATTGGATGCAATTTTCATTGACACATCTGCCATAGACTATGTTACATACATGTAGTCATCTCCTGTTGAAATGAAGGAAATTTAACATTTAGCAATGAAATTCTTAACAATGGCACAAATCCCTTTACAGGTGAAGATGGAAAACTGCTCCCAGTGGATGCTCGACTAGTCACCATCTTTAACCGTATCTATAGCAACGGTACCATGGTGGAGGAGAAGAAAGTCACAGAACTGGGAGTGAACCAGGTGGGCACAGAGGGAGGGAACTCAGGTAAGGACACCAACACCAAATTCAGTGATATGTATCGCAAAATGACAACCACATACAGTGTCATTTGTGTTGAAATACTGAATATCTCACCCAGGGACAGCCATATGTTCCAACATCCCTATGTTCAAACAAAGTGTTAAAACATAGATTGAACTGTCAGAACATAGGCAAGTAACCAACTCACACATTCTGCTTTTCACAGAGAATGGCCAGGCTGGCCTGTCTCTGGTTACTGTACAGAATGAGTTCTATGGAGACGCTGGTTTGGATGAGCTGAAGGACATGGTACAGGGCCTACAGACGGCGGTAGAGGACCTGACGTTTCTCCTGACTGAGAAAATGGAGCAGACAGATGAGATGGGGTTGGAAGACACTCAACATGAGCGTCTCAACAACTCAACAGGTACAGAATCAAAAGCCTGGTAAATACATGTGTAAGAAGGCAGTAGTTTGCAATTACATTTAATTTAGTATTTACATGTCATCACCATGTAGTGCTGTAACATTCACATGACATGAAAATGCTCTAATTGCTTTTAACTTAATTTAATAAAATGCTTTGTGAGCAAGTTATAGTTTACATTTCTCCAATATGTGTGTCTACTTGCTCGTCCTGTGTAATGCTAAGAAGTAAGATACGTAATCCAAACCCGGACAGGACTCATCAACAGGCATGCATCTTCCCCTCCTCCAGCCCACTGCCCTCCAGGGTTTGTGGAGGGTCCTGAGGCCTGCTACTGGTTCTCCCGGGACAAGCAGCCGTACCTGCTGGCTGAACATGTCTGCACCACCAAGGGGGGACGTCTGGCCATGGCGAAGACCAAACAGGTGCACGTGTTCCTGGGCAGGTACATCCACAGGACTACCAAGGCTTCTCACTGGATCGGGCTAACTGACCTCCTCAAGGAGAGTAAGTACTAACACTGACTATATCTACTAGGTCTAGGCTAACTCAAACAGCCTACAGGGTATATGAAATGTGTTTATGTCAGCAAGAAGGTAGTAAATGTAACATTGCCAATTGGTTTTGATAACTCAACTTCTTTGACCTTGATCTTCACGGTTTGAAACTACAAGAGTCTACCGATGTCATTCATTGTCACAAACAGAAGAAAGTTACTAGAATTCTGCTTTACTGAAGTCTGATCCTTCTAGGTGAAACTCTTTTCTTCTTGATTGAATAAAGTTATCATTTCCTAGGACATTTCCACTGGAGTGATGGAACTAGAATTCTGCTTTGCTGAAGTCTGATCCTTCTAAGTGAAACTCTTTTCTTCTTGATTGAATAAAGTTATCATTTCCTAGGACATTTCCACTGGAGTGATGGGACTCCCCTGCAGCCAGGAGACTACATGCCATGGTGGCGGCGCCAGCCTGACAACAGTCGGCGCCGTGAGCACTGTGTGGAGCTGAAGAAGGTTGCCAGGTACAAGTGGAACGACATGCCCTGTACCGGGCTGCTGCACTACGTCTGTGAACGAGGTACTGAAGATTGCACAACACTGTGAATGCTAATAGGACATAGCACATAGCAAATGTCAAACATCAAGTACAGAAACATGGAATAATGGCCAATTGTCAGATTCACCAAAAGCAATAACTTATCAGTTCATGAGTCAGCATTCTTGTTTTTGTAAACATGTATATCTAATGTCATTCTCTTCTATTTTACAGACATTTAAGACTCAACATCATCAACTGGGATACCACAACAGCCGAGACATCCCATATCTGAGAGGAACCTTCAAGCATGTATAGAACATACTTGCACATTTTTGCACAATTACAACCATACGTACCAGTAAACTTCTATTATCTTATTGGACATGAAACCAAGTAAGCACAATTAGCAAATGCAAAGTCCAGGAAATTGACAGTGAACCGATTAATACCTTGCAAGCTTTAACCACAGTAGCACCTAAAACTAGGCACTCGCACATGGTGCACCAGCTTGCAGAGACAAAACTGTGCATCAAAATATGGCATTGAAATCACTATACTCTATAGCATTATTCTTGCAAGACTTAGTGTATTTCGGCAAGAATTTTGAAGTATTTGCCAGAGTATGAATGCAAGGTATGTAGTGGCTATTTGTACCAAATAAAACTTAAGCAAGACACTGTCAGTTGCCACTGAAAACCTGGATTGACAAATCACACATCTACACTGAAAGAAGTAATCTTTATTTTTCTATGTTAAACATGACTTTGCATAGCTGATAACTTTCTTACAAAAATGTAACTATGGTAAGCAACACCTAAAAGCCTGCGCCTGCACATGAACAACTGGTGTAGCAGCAGTAGTTCTTAGTATTCCTAGTAACACCTGTGCTTTGCTACTGGAACACAATCGATGTGCTATGTCTTTGGAAGACTATAAAAACTAAAATCACTTATACATGTATATAAATCTGCTCACACTGTTTACATTTATTTCTTTTGCATTCATTTACTTCATAAGCCTACAGATAATAAAATACTACAGATAAGAAATACATGAATTATGAATTATCCAAAAGCTTTGGTTGCAACAAGGACTACCACGGAATGCCCCAAGTCCCCAGCCTCAAATTTACTGTAACTCCCTATACCAAGGAAATGCATTTTGTTACCATGAAAGGGTTTTCCTCGGGTCATTTTAAGGTCATATTGACCTAGACAGATACATTGTATATTCATTTACCAAAATTCCCTAGCATTAAAGTGCCTTCTTGTTACAACATCAAAGTACCTACTTAGTATCTGCAAATTCTATTTCTCTATGAAGTAATATGGTCTTTCTCTATAAATTCATATATACAGTCAAGCTGTTCTGTTTTATTCTCTATACCAAGGAGTATTGTACATCAGATGACTACAGAATTCATACATATCTTTTGCAATAAGATGTGGACCAGACATGAACGAATGATACTACAGTACCAAGGCATCTACACACACACTGAAGACACAATAAGGAGAGACAGCTAGTAACTACATAATAGGAAGTATCTGGCAAGAACCATGGCATGTTCTATGTGCTGAAGGCGAGTGCCAGCCTCCTGGTGACAGTGTTGGTTCCAGCCCCACACGGGGAGGACTGTGTGGTGAGGGTACTGGATAGGTGGGGGGAGGAGGGCAGTAGCCGCTTGGCTGGGGAACTGCCGCTCGTCCGCGCCTCCTGGTCAACCAGCTCCAACAAGGTGCGCAGGTCCTGCAACACAACAGGTCATGTCAGGCAGAAGGTCATCATTTGTATCATATGTTAGTTGTTGCCTAGTGAATTGCTGTCACAATTATTTTGGCTAGGTAAGTATCTGAAAGGTTCCTTTAAGGTACAATAAAGATTCAATTTTCTAAACTGATGAATAGATTGAAAATAGACATGGAAACATCTTAGAATAAATTTTGCATGATTCAGTGAAATTTCCTGGGACTGGATAATGCATTAGGTCTTTCTCTACTACATGTATTGGTAATAAAATAACAAATATTATGTTGTAACAAGAACTGTGGTATAACAAGCGTTATGGTAAAACACAACTGTGCATTGCTTCCTAGACACTACATCCCTGTCCTTGTTACCACAAACCTTGTCGAATTCACGGATGTTCTTATTGATGTGGTCTGTCCTACTGCTGGGTCTCCTATCAGAGTTCAGCTCCTGCCAGCTGTTGGCCACCTCCCGTAGGAGACCGCACGTCCCCAGCAGCTTCACGGCATGGGGACGCATCTTAGACACTCCTTCTCTGTAACAGGCAGTCAATATTTCCACAATTGATTTCTGTGAATGCTTGAAGCAAAGAAACCACTTAAGTCAATGAAACTGCACAAAAATATCTCAATAATGTTACAATACTGTCTTGTATGTGTCTCTGCCATTGCTGACATTCTTCATACACAGCAACCAACCTAGAGTTTTTGGTGACATGTACAGTTGACTGACACAGTTGTGCTGCCGAGTCCATCACACTCTCTGTTGCACCTGTCATGTCCTGGATGAAGGTGAACACTTTGGCCACACCATCATTACTGTAGCACCATTTGTACTCAACCTGGGGAAAGAGACAACATGAACATCCCATGAAATACATGTACTATCAAAAAGTATTTGTAGCCATTAGTCACATAAAGCTTCAGATTTTGTTAGAGGCTAAGTCTTTCATGCCTAAACCATTAAGAGATACCATCTACAAATATGTATGACCCCTTAATTAATACTTCATCACATTTAATACTACTAACCTCCAGAGTTCCAAAGGCCTGCAGAAGTCCCCTGGCACTGGACGTGACCTGCTGTACATGGTTCAGCAGCTTGTCCGAAACCCTGTTCTTTATCTGACCCGGTGTGAACTTGGAAGAGGACATGGCAGACAGCACAGAGTCCTCACAGTTCTCCAGCTTCTTCACACATCCGCCCACAAACTTCTCCACAAATGCCATCATGCCCTGGATCACCATGGTCTTCAGCAGGATTTCCACGGAGATGTCCGTGATGCAGGTCATGCCGGTGTCCGTGGCGAGCATCGCCTCCCCGACGACCCTCGCCAGGCCCTCCATACTGTGCTTGATGCTGTCCTTTGCGCTGAAGATCAGTGCCAGCAGGTTTTGCTCGAACCCCTGCAGGAGCCTGCCCACGTTGGTTGCCAGGCGCTGGGTGGTGTTGGTGAGCTGGTGCACCAGCTGGCTGGTCTGCTCCAGCTCGGACTGCTCGATCACGGATGCCCACAGCTGGACCAGGGATGTCAGTACCACTACTGCGTACGACATCCGCATCATGTTCTGGCCAAAGTCTGCATCACTATCAACATCTTTCTCAGCTTTTTGTGCATTTTTGGAGGAGAAAATGACCGTGGCTTCCGTCTTCAGGCTCTGTAGGCAGTAGAGGATCTGGTCTACTATGCTGTCCTGGGAGTTGCTCTTGAGCTTCTTTCTGGCACTGTTGATCATTTCCAGGCAGGTAGAAGTTACTGATGTTGTCCCTGGGTTTTCTCTCTTTGCAGGCCGTACTGTGTAGGTGCCGTTCTGCTTTTGCTGGTCTTCTGAGCCACTGCTGTAGTCTGACAGTCCTACAGACAGCAAAGTAACAATTGTTAGACGTTGGTGCTAGTCTGTAACACTTGTTCTATCTGTATCATAGTTTTGGTATCAAGAGCCCAGAGATCAGTACTGAATGGGTAAGCTAATAACATTTTTATATTACATATTAAGTTCAAACTTGACAACACCTACTGGTCATAGAAACAAATTGGGGAAGAACTCAATACTGGAATGAAGGGTTGGAGATGAGAGGAAAGTGCGTGGAGGCTTAAAATTTTAGAAAAAGATGAAGAACCTGAACTGTGTGCTCACCAGTGACTGAAGTGTCCTTCTGCCAGCTGTCACTGGGGTCACAGAAGATGGTGTCATCTTCACTGATGTCTCCATCACCCTGGTACAGTTCCCTCATCTGGACCAGCCTGGACTCAAACTTCTCAGGGCTCCAGTGGGTCACCATGCCCAAGGCATGGTTCGACACACGGACTTGAACCTAGAAGAGGAAGCATTGGATTACAATTACATGTATACCCTGGATACATCAAAATCGTTCTGGACAGGTGAAAAAAATGCAGTAGACAGGCAAATAATCTTAGGTGGCAAACTTATCACAAAGATCGATGAGAGAAAAAACAGATCTACCAAGGACACAGACCTGTGGCTTGTCACCAATGAAGATGTCCTGCCTGCTGAAGCTGACATTCCTGCCCAGGCTACGACTGATGTTGTTGGCCTCTTGTAGCAGCATGGACAGTCGGATCAGCCCCCACTGGTCCCTCTCTCCTGGGTGGGACATAACACTTTCTGGTCAACTTTTATTACAAGGGAGTATTTTATAGGAGCCCTTTTTCGTCCATATTTCAGCCACACACTTACACATGAATGCCAAGACAGTTAAGCATTCAGCACAATGCAAGTTCACCGAGACACAAAAAAATTAAAGCTGGTTAGTTTCTCCTGCAAGCCATTTTGTTTGGTTTTCCTAAAGTTGAGTCCTACTGCATGGTCACACCACTCTTGTTTATCAGGGTGCAGGTATGTCGCAAAGCTATAGACGTGATCCTCACCATACTTGACACTGATTGGCCCACACTGCTGTCGTCTCCTGCTGGCCTCCTGAAGCCGGCTCACGTTCCCCTCCATACGCTGTTTCTCTGCCTCCAGCTCAGCAATGATGCGGGCCTGGCGGACACGAGCCTCCTCCATGGACTGTTTGACTGCGAGGGCCTCCAGCTGCAGACGCCTTCTGTTACTCAGCACTTCAATCTCTGAGGTGGGACACGCAGATACACAGTAATGGTTAGACTGGTGTCTTTCCATTACACAGAACATGGCTAGCACACAGGTTCTATGAAAATCTGTTAGTTTTCAATTGATATGGAACTAGTAGGATTAGTAGGAATGACAATGTACCTTGCACATGTTATCATCCCTGGATGGTAAATGCCCAACAAATTCAGAAATGACTGCAGTTTCAATTGACATTGACATGCAGGACAGGCAAAGGAAAGTCACTTAGTGAAAGGCGCAGTTGTTTAAAAGATCCCTTGCCAAAGTGGTCAGTTGTGCGGCTGTAATGCCGCATTACGTGGTCATTATCAGATCACTTCTGGGGTTACCCCGGCATTAAACTAGCTCCCACTGAACATTGGGAGTAATGCTAGATTGATGCCATGACCATTAATCATCATTAATCATCTTGGCCTTTTGGAGTGGGGCAGAAGCTGTTGCCTGATGTGATCTCCACCCCTGACAGCGTGCCTGACAGCTTGCCAGTGGGGATGGTCACACCAAATTAATCCTGTGCTCTTTGAAAACATATGTGCCTTCCTGGAGGTGAAACATAATCTGTTTTCTTTGAGCTGAAACACAGCATCATACATATCTCCAAGTTTGGCTTGTTTTGACCAAGCTACAGGAGTCTTTTCTTTTCTTTGAATGTCTTTTAACCACTAAATCAAAAGGTCCAGGACCTGTTGGCCTGGGCTGATAGTGACTGCATTTGTATACATACAGAGCCTCCTACATGTGCTATGGGGAGTTGCAAAGGATGGTCTGATCTATCATGTGACCATGTATGGGAACATTCTGCTCCCCCCAGAGGTCATGTGACCTATGGGGGGAGCAGAATGCTCTAAGCTGTCTTGGTCCTACATAATATGTTCTCTCTCTCCACTTCTTGTTAGACATTTGCTACCAGGCACCACATTTTTTTACCAAATGTCTTGAAATTTTAACAGAGCTTGGGAATATACTTCCACAGGTATTCTTGGTTTAATTTTTTGGATGCAGGCCCTAAAATAATTCAATGTAGCTTTTTTGTAAAAAAAAAATAGTCCCAAAAAGTATATTGTAACTTATTTGCGCCTGTGTCTTCATGTTAGGTCAAATAAAGGACCTAAAATTTGGTATGAGGATAGTGGTTCATGTACGGTGTTGGTGGTTGAAGTATAATGACAAGAAGTCCTAAATGCAACTTCATGTATGTTCTTTTAGGTTGGAATTGCAACAGAATTTCTGAAAATATCCCCTGTGTAAAAGGGGGACAAACTTCAGACTGTTTCAGGCCAGGCAGGTTATAGACTGAATTAGGTCAGTCAGGCCTGCTCAGAGGCGGTGGGACGTCAGTTGCTGACACAGGATGTTCTAAATGGTTGAGGATTGTGCTTACTTGAGCCTGGTGCTAATGTAAGGGTCAACCATAACCGAAGACTGTGACAGAGGGCATTAATGCAGGGGAAAGGCAAACTAATTGGTTCAAGGCACTGCAGAGTTGACAGTGGAGGGAGGTGCCTTGGACAGTCATAATCTACTGTGAAATTAGGCACTATACTGGCTGTAATGCAGGATGAATGTTTCAGGGGGTAATGCTGCATAGCAGACCACTTTGGCAAGGGATACCTTGCTACAAGGAAAGAATGTCAAAAAATCATTTTTTGTCTACATGCAGCTTTTGGAAATTCAAGATCATATACCGAGAGCTTTCTTCTGTTCTTCCAGCTGATGCACTTTGTCCTGCACTTCCATAGCCGTCTGCTCTTTTTCTTTCTTCTCAACACTCTCTTTCTCCAGCTCTTTCTGTAGCTGTTGCATCCTTTGCTCGTACTCCCTCCTCTGCTCTTCCATCTCTTCTTCAGCCACCTGCCTGGCTTCCTGAATCTGGGCCATGGCCTCTTTTTTAACCTGAAGAAGAAGTAAGGGTGTAGGAAATCAAGCCTCCGGCTATCTGTCCTTACATCTGTTCAACTGAGTAAAAGTACATTGTACATATACAACATATATTAATCATAAGAAAAAATGAAAGTAGAAATCAATTGGAGAATACAATTTTAAGTCTATAGAAAGACCAGAATAACAACTAAAAATTACCTGAGTCCTTGCTGCCTCCACCTCCCTTTCCAGCTTTGCTCTCTGCACAGATATCAGCTCGCTCTTGGCAAACTCAAAGTCAATAGGCTGGCCACCCGACTTCTTCTTGCCCGACTTGGCTTCTGTTGGGTTGTTGAATCTATGTGCAAATCAAGAAAATTTCAATCGACTCCATACTCAGAATGCTGTCATCTGTTAATAAATTTGACTGAAAGTGAATCAAACCTAGAATTTACGAGTGGAATTTAGAGTAAAGCAAAGAAACAAACATCAATCTATTACTATTAGACAATCTCACCTGAAGTAATGGTCACCAACAATGAGCCTGTCACCATGGTGAAGCATGGTTTCCATGGTAACCTGCTCACCATTTACATAAGTGGGAGCATCCTTCATGGGCAGGACCATCACCTGGTCTCCTCTGTTGGTGATGACACAGTGCTGAGCACCCACCAGGCCTCCTGTTAAGACATCAAATATTATTTGTTTACGTCAACTTACAAAATAACAAAGTAACAAAATCCATCCGTGTCTATGGCAATTAACTAACCCAGAAACTTCCAAGCACTAGATAAGTAGTCTTTCCCTATACGTAATTTGTTCTGTGCTTACTTAAATATGTTGATATACAGCTACGGAAACCTCTATTTCAGCAGGTCTGGAGAGTACATGTACCTAACAGCTGGATGTCACAGTCCTGATGTCCAGTCTTGGACCCCACCCTGGTCTGTCCCTCCTTCAGGATGTACAGCAGCACCTCGGCCAGCTGCGGGTCTTCATTCAGGTTGACCAGGTGAGGCAACTTGTTGTCCACCTTCAGAGCCACACCCACCCGCTCCAGGATGTGGGTCTCCTCAGCTTTCTGCTGCTCTGCCTGCTCTAGTCTGTCCTGCCATGATCTAGAGAGGGCAAGGTCAGAGAAAAACATCATCAATCTTGCTTCAGCAGGGAATTCTAGACCTGGGAAATATGATTACTGTGGAATTTCTTCATGATAGCACATCTAAATTTCATGTTATGATTACTAAGTTACATTTACAAAAAGGAAACAGCTGTACAGATGTGATCCTGTGATGGACAGCTCCATACCTGTTGACCTCCTCCAACCTCTGCTCCTGCTCTGCTAGAAGCTGCTTCAAGGCAGCAATCTCTGCCAGACTGGCCTGGTATGTCTCCTCCTTCACCACAGCCTACAAGATATATAGAGCCTTCGTTCAAATTTGTACTGAAATTTGACCAGTAATTATCTGGGGATGATCTCGACTCCAGCTTATTCCAGACAACAATTTGAAGATTCTTACAATCATGAACGTTGATGGTACACAATAAATATCAGCACATTACAAACTATAATTAAAATCACCTACTAAAATCATGTGTGTCTACTGTCTTCTGACTGTCATATCGATAGCCACATAATCAATAATAATTCTTTTCCATTAAGAGAACTTCCACTCTATCACTCAATCAAACACCACTTATGGCCGAGCAATTTCGTCCACAACAATCATCCCAATCAAACCCCATTGTGGGCGTCCAGTGCTGACTATAAATTATGCATAACCCAGGCATTGACTAAAATATATGCTGACAGTTGCTCCTTTCAACTGTAGCCTCTTATAATCATGTATGTAGCAAAAATCTAAAAACTGACTTCTACTCTAGGTCATTTAAAAACATTAAGTAAATAAACTTGTAGCTACAGCAAATGACACTGACCTGTCCAGTCTGAGCTCTCCTTAACTTCTCAATCTCAGCCCGTAGCTCTCTGATGAGCCTGGCCTTGGGGTCTTCGTTGACCTTTACGATGTTGACAATGCTGCGAGCCTGCTTGGCGTATCGCAGTGTGCTGAGAGTTTCCTCCATGTTGGTACTGGAGGGGCTTATGTTGGCAATCATGGCAGTGCGAGAGTTGCCACCTGTAGCATGGGACAGATACAACATTTAGTACAATAGTATTGAATTGCTCTATGCTTGAATTATGTTACATTACTTCCAACTAAAGGCAACATTTCAAGATCATTCATGTTCAATGCAATCGTCTTGGTACAAAAACGAACATCTTACTTACTCTGATAAACTTTAAGATCCACATTGACTTAAGCTGTCTACAAGACATTGCTATTAGCTATGATACAGAACTACACAATTACTGAATTTTGCCTACCTAGACTTTCCTTCAACAGCCATGTCAAGACAGAGTCTCTGTAGGGGATGAACACCCTCCTCTTCCTGTTCACTGATTGGTCAGCTAGAGCTTGGATGACCTTCCCCAAGGTCATGAGTGACTTGTTGATGTTTGCCCCTTCCCGTAACCTGTCTCCGGAGGTCTGTGCAGCCGAGCTTCTCTCGCTGCCTGCCAGGTCGATCAGGTTGACTCTACTGTTCCTGCTGTGTTCATGCACCTCTCCCTCCAGGGATTCACAGGTGGTCTGGGTGACAATGATGGTGAAGACAGAGTGGGATCGGCTACTCTTGTCATTCATGCCCGTGGCTGCCGTTGCTCGCTGCTTGTTCCCAATGGCTAACCAGCCTTCAATGTCCCGGTAGGAGCTGACCACAAACTGCGACAGTCCCTGTACATACGGACCCCAGAGCGGATGTTCTCGAACCTTGAGAGGAGCCCTGCGCTTCTCTTTCTGGGGTGATGACACCAGGAGGTCATGGATTTTTTCATTGTAGATTTCAAAGAAGCTAATCTCAATGTGCGACTTCACATCAACGTTGCTGTGTGCTGAGAGCCTTGAAAACAGGTCTTCACAGAATCTTGGGATGATTCCTTTGTTCCCATCGAAACCCATCATGGTGTACGACTTCCCCGAACCTGTCTGTCCATAGGCAAACAGGCAAGTGTTGTACCCTTGAAGTGCTCTCTCTAACAAGGGCTGGGCAAGCATTCTGTAAACTTTTTCTTGGCCGGCAAAGTGCTTGTCGCTTTCTTTGAATGACCAGAATGAATGGTCGTAAGCAAACAGGTGTTCGTTTCCATTCACTGGGGTGACCAACGTAGCTGGCCCGTCCATGGTCACCACACATTTTGCCTGCTCTTTTACCTAGATATGAGGTAAAGAAAAACAATACAAGTTGAACTACATCTATACTAGGTTCTGGTACAATCATGTAGTATCCAGTTATGTACTACTGGTAGTACATCATTTGTACTACTAAGTAATATTCATAGTACACACTAAAGTAATTATATACTTTTCTTCAAACTATCATTCACATGACAAAAATTGGTGTCTTTTCTGGTCTATGTTTCTAATATAAAACTACACTAAACCAATTTTATTGACAATCCCTGCTAAAATTCGTTTTGGCAGTTATATTTGCACTTCGCCTGGGGCTACCATTAAAGTTATCCGCCGCGAAATCCGGACATAGCTATAGTGCCAAACTTGTCTGAAGTGCATTATGCTGCATTGTACACGTACAAATGTTTGTTGTTGGATCCATAATTAACTTAAATGTATAATGTGGTTGCCATGTCATACCTCTCTCTGGCTGAACGGTCGGACCCTCACGGCGACTGTTACCGAACAGCTATCCTCGCCTTCTTCTGCGATATCGGCGAGTAACCGCTCGGTCTCGATGTCCTGATCCTCCCCGGGAGTCGGCGGGAGTACAGCGCTGAAACACTCCGGTGTAGCCGGGCCTGGGAAAAGTCGCTTTTTCCCGGGAGGAGTTTGAAACTCGGCGGGTTGAGACAGGTCGGGCGCCGACTGTTGCTTGCGGAGTAAGTCGGCACGCTGGGCTTTATTGCCGGGAGTCGCAGGGAGATGCCGCCGCGGCGTGCGAACGCGAGTCCCCCTCGATGCCATTATGTTGTAGAGGTATAGGAAACTATAGAGGGAAATTTCTAAAGCAAAACTCCGTGGTGGTTGAGTGACCTGGCCTGATAGTTTATCTCCGTGTTGACACTCAAGTAGTTGTCGGCGCCAGCTCTAGTCCCACACAGGTCGCGGCTCCCTCAAGAACGGCGAAATTACGGTTGAAACGCTTATACACAAACTTCACAACCGCAGTAGAGACACCTGTGGTTGTCTTCATGCTCCCTGCATTCTGGTACAGTTGAAAACTGTCGAAATCCTTCAGAAAGTGCCATTTTGAGCAAGACGGATGCTGGTGCTTTTCAAACTTTGTTCAAACAGCCAACGGTATGATAATAAGCTCATGACCTCTGACCTTTACAACTGACTACAGGAATGACCCTGTTGAAAGCAGTGCCCCACTTTTAAAAAATATTGGTACTAATCCATATGACACTTGTAGTCGTCATATATCTAAAAGCATTTAATAATCCTAGCAATTGGAAACTATATAGACTCCCAAACGAGAGTGCGGTAGTTGAAATAGTGGCCGAATACTCCGAAAAATCAAAGGAACATTCCTCCCTTCCGAACACCAGCAAAGTCATGGCGGACAGAAACAGCAAGGACGCTTCAGCTGGCGATGCTTACGACGATTCTTCCCTTCCAAACCCTTACGCAGGTTTACCAGAGCAACCACCGCACATTGAAGGTTTTCAGGTCAGTTGAAACATCATTACGAAATCAATTTTGCGACAAGATGCAAGGAGTGGGACAGAGAAAAGCCCAGCACTGCGATCTCTCTTATGCAAGAAGTTATCACCATTCTTATGCAACGCCCACCTCCCCATGGGGAAGAATAAAAACAGAGAAAGCAGGCTCGAGAAAATTAAGTTTCGTAGCACATTTTGCTCTCGAAGTCAGAGTCATGACATTCAGCATTCAATCTGTACCATTCCCTATATGTGCTTCAAACCCACTATCGTATAAATGTTTGTGGCTTGGTTCTGATGGAGCCTCCTTAGATAGCCTTGGATCTAAGACCCAAGCCATCTGATGGCTTGGGTCTTAGAACATCTTGAAATTATTATTACCTCTGTATTGCGACAGTATTCAAATCAAATGCCTACCACTGTTCAGCTGAAGGCAACCAGTCATTATTCCAACAGGTATGGCGTGCCCCAGCACAAGAAGGATTTGCAGAAAAGTTCAAAAGGAAGACAATGGAGAACCCCTTTGTCCCCATTGGCTGCGGTCTGACGGCAGCTGCCCTGATCTACGGTATTGGCACTTTCAGCAGCGGAAATAGGAGAAAGTCACAGGTGAGAACTTAATATTTGAACATAGTTTCTCTAATGTCATTCATTTCTGTAAGTCTAATATAAATATCACACAATGTCACAGGGAACATGCAATCAGTATTGTGTATATCCTTGATATACTAGTAACAAAACACAGCCATCCGTGGTAACAAAATGTATAGACCTGTTTCACCTTTCTTAAAATGGTCTGTTGTGTCTTGCTATTCTTTGTGCAAATGTGGACCAATGATCAAAATGAATTCTTCCCCCTACAGACCATGATGCGAGCACGAGTGGTATTTCAGGGCTTCACCATTGCAGCTATCCTGGTAGGGGTGGCCGTGAATGGCATGAAGTCCAAGAAGTAGACCACACCACTGTAGTATTGTACCAGGCTAGACATCAAGTTCCATGCATTGGTGCAGCTTATGTGACTGACTTTGCTGGGAACAACTGAGAGGAATGAGGCCCTGCAGTGAGCAGAACAACTTGCAGTACTAGTTGTAGCCTGTAAAACTAGACACCTTCGCTGCTGTGTAAATCATAACTTTCTCTACACATCTCTCCTGTTCACAGTGTTCATGTTAAGGTAGTGTAAGTTTTGGAAGGACACAAATGGAAGTGTGATGAGGAATGAGTTTTGTACTAATGTGTACAATGTAGTTGAGATCTATGTATGTCTCACTAGGTAAAGAAAATGTAATGAAGACTAAAGATTGCTAAAAAGTAAAATAACTTCTGTGTGGAGGTTAACATTTTTAGTTAAAAATTTTCAAAAAGAAGTTTTGCTTATTGTGTTGCAGAATCATGATATTTCTTGTGAGAGTCATCTCTGTATAAATGGTAACAAGTGTGATGTGTAGCATTGCCAGTGATGTATTTGTAAGGAGTAGTAACATAGAAAAATAGTTATGGACCAAGAACTTTGTGTCAACATAATGGACAATTTTTGTAAATGTAATGTTGATAAAAATGTATAAAAAAATGCATACTGTCATACTTGGAAGTGTAAATCCAAGACTTGCCACAATGTGTATAAAAGATGCAGATTACTTCAAAACAGTGATGTTTTGTATGATACCCTGTAACAGTAATAAAGGAAACAACAGATTTAAAACAACAACAGCTTGCTCACTTATTTTTTGCAAGCATGATATCTAAATAGCTGTAAAGTTTTCCCTACATTTTTAAACACCTCTGGGACTTGTACCCTAAGCTGTGTTGTAATCTCAGGATGCAATGGTTGTGTGCATAGGCACAATGGTAACTGTCACACCAATTTACCTGTAGATAATACTGTAAGTTGTCCAGTAGGAATGCCATGTGTGTTCGTAGCTGCCACTTGGCCACGTCTGACTGCTGGGAGCCCAGATGTTTCCCTTCCATCTGCAGTGCCCAGCAGTTCTGCAGTTCTAGCTGAACTCTCTTCACACTCAGCAGGAATCTGAACATGGTGTTGTACCTGGCAGAAAAAATTATCTATTTCGATCAGAGATACCCTCTACCAGGTGACATTAGCCAGGACAAGACAAGAAGGTATATTACATGTATTACCAAAAGTAAGGCATTTACTTTTTAACGTGATAACAATTAGCACAAATAATTGAACTGCATATTTTTGCTGCCAGTGCCCAGCAGGTACATCCCAGACAAATTACTGGGAACCACACGAGATAGAAGGCCTAACAGTAGCAAGGCATACAGGCTACTTACTTGTCTAGTACAGCTTCAGTGAAGAGGATATGCAGTGGCCACTGCACAGAATAGGAGAGACCCAATACACCCCAACCACTCTCCCCTGATGGGATGGGCCCTGAAGGTTCTGAAATAAATACAGAAAGTGGTACAAGATGTAATTTGAAGAAAGTTTCCTGTGAGGCCAGAGTGAGTACATTGAATGATGGCAGGACGTAATGAGGACGTCAAGTTGTCTTTTTGTCACAGTTTGTCATGAAATTATGAAAACTCCTTGCTTTCACATAACATGATACATAAATGGTTCAAGTGGTCATGTGATTAATGCCAACCCAGGAGTGAAAAAAAACACCATACTTTTCTGTCCTTTTTGTCCCTTGGTCTGCACAGAAAGACGAAACTGAGTGACTTCATCATCATCCAGCAGCACGTCTCTGGCAGCCTGGAGGAATGCTGCATTTACATCTGAGGAGGCAGAGAATGTAAGATTTAGCTTCCCGAAATTATAAGAAAGTACAGATTTTGGACACATTGAACCATGTATTTTTACATGCAAGATGTCAGCAGTCCACATATGCAGTCAAAACCCACAGTAGATGAGAAGAGTTTACCATGTTCAGTAACGTTTGTGGGAGGGCCTCTGAGGATGCTCTGTGCACAGTCGATGAAAGCCAGGAACAGCTCCCCTCGCCCCAGGAGGTAGAAATCCTTCATCAGCTGTTAACAGTACCAAGTGAAAGAAAAAAAGGTACAAATAAGTTGTTTTTCCACTTGTAACACAAAAGTATGCATTGTTAGTTTTTTCCAAAGGTGACACATGCAAGTTGGGTAAATGGTTCAAATGCTCCCATATGATTTCTAAGAATTTACACCCATCTGAAACAGCAGTAGTACTTTCCTCTTTTGCATAAGGAGTTCTAATTCACTAGAAGTATACATACAGCACACTTACCTTTAGGTGTCCAATCAGATCTGCTTCCTCAACAACTAATTTCCACAAGTGCTGGAGGAAAAATGAAAACACAATCAGCTCTATTCTACCAACACAAATGAGCTTTCATTCGAATACAATCAGAATAAAATCATACCCAGTTGCTTGAGTAAATGTTTTTTTGCGTACAATCAGCTCTGTTACCTGCAAATTTTAAGTTTTCATACCAATGTAAGAAACAGGAGGAGCACGCTTATAAACCCCCCACTGTTACACCAACACCTTAATCTGTAAGCCTGAGACAGAATTTTAACTTGACTCCTACAAACATTTCATTTCATTCACTCTACAGTTATGATATGTAATCGGCAAAGTTTACCTCAGCCACACTTTTCCGAATCCTGTCAATGACAGACTCGAAAGCTGCCAAGTTGAACAGAGAGGCCTTGGACAGCTGATGCAGCTCTTCAGCAAACTGGTCCTCACTGTTTTTCAAAATGGAACCTGAGGATTAGAAAAAAACAGCTGAGGTTGAACATTCCCTATTTTTGTGAGGACATGTGATATGAAATGAGACTTGTCAAACTTCAAATATGATCTACAGGTAGCTTTGATCTCTTCTTGCATATTTCTACACTAATTCTGGAACGTGTGACAGAAGACATTAAAATATGCTATCTTTGCAATTTTGCTTCACGACATATCCAACCATGTCATTTATTAGTCCACAAAATATAAATGGATCTTTGATCAGAATTTTCTGGTAAAGTCACCAGATTTTGTAGTCTGAGGAACAAACTCTGATCTTCACCTGTTCTTTTCATGGCGGGTCTGTCCTTGTCGTGTTCAAACATCTGTATACTCTCCCCCACAAACAGGATCTTCTCTGCCAGTCTGACAGGGATGTAGGAGGGAAGCATCTCTGGTCTCAGAGCAAACTGTACATAAGTCTTCCTCTCCTCTTCTTCCCCAGCAATTTGCTGTCAGAGAATCAGACAAGTGCACGTTTTACAGTACACCTTAGTACAGGGGTGGAAAATTGGAAATAAAAAGGTACCAGAGATACTAGTGTAACAAAACTTACATCTCGCAATTGTATCATATCTTCAGACTGATTTAAATGAACAGTTGCCTGCAGCTTTGTGTAGTGTAGTCAGGTAGAGCCCTGTTTTACTTTCCTGGCTATGAGCAAGTATACCAGCATAACATCACAAACATGCAATATTATCACACAACTCATGAGGCAGACTTGTATATTTGCTTTTATTGTATACTTGATATCTTATTTTCTGCAGTGAAAAATTTTATTCAACAGCTTGGAAAGCTGGTCAATAAGTTCCTCTACACTCCTGCCCACATCTACTCTGGTGCATCAACATGACTACATCACCTTAACTTAAAAATATTTACACTCCATGTACATGTCTTGGTTCTACAGAGGCCAAAGCTTTGAATGTTTCAAAACAGTAACTTGAGCGATCTACACCATCATATTGATGAATACACACAACTGTCCATCACAAATTTCTTTAAACATCGATCAGGTCACAGGTTGAATGACAAATGTGAACATGTCTGTCACCTAAAACTAACTCCAAATTTATTTTAGACAAAATTCCCATCTGATGTGATCTTCCATACAATATCTAGATCAGATTTAATCTTGTGTAGCCTCAGTTCCACATGCTTCTTGTCTTCTGTGAGAATTTTCTCTCCAAACCTCGTCATGAAGTTCTCAGGGTCCCATTGAGTCTGCAGTTCTTTGTACTTAGCCTGTTTGTCTTTTAAAGTGTCCCTCTTTTGTACACCCAAGATCCTACTTGAGATGTTCTCCACAACATCAGTTCCACTGTCCGTGATGAAGTCTTCCTCTAGCCATGAAGGCCATGGGATGTCATGAAAGTTCACAGTCAACGAGTCACGGTGGTAGTTGATAAACTTCAGCCACTTTTCCAGCTTGACCCGGGCTTTTCTTTCTATTTCCAGGAGCTTTTCCTTACTCTTTGAAACCATGAGCATCTCCAGGTGTGGTGTCACAAGTATAAACTGTGCGGAATATGCTGACTCCTTGCTAGAATTACAGGGGTTGTAGAGGGCAGCCATTGTCATGAGTGGGTTCAGATATGCCCTGTCGTTGTCCATGAGAAAAATTTGTTCCTCTACAGGGATGGCAAAGTAGGAGGCCATGAAGGTGATGATCTCCTCCACTGTGGTGCATTGGCTGATGGGAACCTGTACCTTCTCTGACGACCCTTTCCAAATCACGTCAACTGTGGAAGGAACTGTAGTGATGATGTGTTGGTTTGGTATCTTCTTCTGAAGGCAGGTACGCATTTCAACCATCCGTGCTAGCAAGGCCTTACGAAACTGTCTGCGCTTCTGATGTTGCCCTTGGATCAGTTTCAGAGCAAGCTGTAAGAAATCTGTGTGCAGCTGGTCCCTCTGCTCTATTTCCTCATATGATGGCATGTCAGGTGTAAGTGCAGTTTCTTTTGCATCCTGTGTTTCTTCATCGTGGTTTAAAGCTTTTGACTCATGCATGGTGGTTCTTGAGTCCATTGAACTTCCGTGGTCCTCACTACTTGACATTAAGGATAGATTTTCTTCAGTGCTAGCTTTCTCATCAAATGAAGATGATAAAACATCACTTCTGGGTAGAGTGGAGTTTGTGGGCACTTCTTCCATGTGCAGGGTTTTGGTTGGAGTTGGTGTTGGTTCTTCAGACCGCAGGTGCAAGTTTATCAGCTCTGGCTCCACACTTGAAGTCCCTGACACTGATCCTGAGAGGTACATGTAGCTTTGGCCATCCATACTGTAACTTGATTGCCGTGATGACAAACCAGTGCTCGTCCTATCTACAGAAAATGCCACGTCCCCACCATGCCCTGTATCAGTGTCACCAAGAT